TGTAAATCTTTAAGTATAAAATCGTTTACTACATATATAAGGGATTATTGCATTACGGTTCTCCACCTTTTATTAATCTTTCAAATTCTTACTCCCTTAGCTGTATGCTGGGCTGCTTTCATATTAACTAAGCCACATCATGATACACAGGAAAAGATAATCATCTGTGACTCAAGATGTGACAATGAGTACAAACATAAATAGATCATATTGCCTTATTTAGGAATACTCTGTCTACAAAGATTAAAAGGTCCCAAAAGTTCATACTAGAAAAAGGGTAGTCCTAGAGGAGTGGTTCTCAAACTTTGGGGCATGCCCCTTTGGGGATTGAATGACCCTTTCACAGGGGTCGCCTAATTCATAACAGTAGCAAAATTACAGTGAGGAAGTAGCAACGAAAAGAATTTTATAGTTGGGAGGTCACCACCACATGAAGAACTGTATTGAAGGGTCGTGGCATGAGGAAGGTTGAGAACCACTGTCCTAGAGAAATGAGAATATCTTGGAATGAGCTACAGGGGAAAAAAGGGGGTGGGAGGAGTGGACGAGTTGACTCCAACTCATGACAGTTTGGGTGATGTCAGAGCTGAGCTGTCCTCGATAAGGCGATCAATAGCTGATCTATGGGGGAGTAGATTGGATGCTTTCCTCCAAGGCACCTCTGTGCGCCTGAAACCTCTCTGTCAGAAGTTAGCTCTTTGAACTGCGTACTATTCAGAGGCTTTGAGAGCTATAAATATGGACTGAAATGAAGACGTTAGACATTAGTAGAAATGAAAGAATTTAGTTTCCTGTGTCCTCTGTGTGTGTGTGCTCCTAATTTATCTTTCTTTCAGTATTTGCTAATTTTCTATCTCTTTCAACACTTACCTGATCTTTGCACCTTGTCAGTGCAGTGGCCAACCCACAATGCTTTTGTGCCTCCACCTTGGTATCCAGGGAGAAGACAGGACAAGTGTCACCTAAATGGGTGACATTAGAATCAGAGCAAAGGATCCAGACACTTTGGGGTTCCTTTTTGAATTTAAGACATGATTAACTTTCAACACTCATAACTCTGGGACTATCTTTATGTTTCTAACACAAATGTTGCAAAAACCTCTACCCGAATTTTCTAACAATATTATCAGCAACATTTCAATAAAAATTATCATGTGTCTGAAGGTTTGTCTAAATAAGATAGGCTGAATGAGCAATCTGGAGAAGAAAACAACAGAACTGACAGTTCCAGGGGACATGGGAGAAGGGAAAGTGGAGGGAAAGGAAGTGCTGTCAACAAACCCAGGGACAAGGGAACAACAAGTGATCTAAATCAGTGGTTAGGAGGGTGTAGGAGGCCTGGTATAGTGTGACCAAGGGTAATGTAACCAAGAGGAATTACTGAATCCCTAATGAAGGCTCAACATGATAGAGGGACAAGAGGAAAGTCAAAGGAAATAGAGGAAAGAGTTCGGAGACAAAGGGCATTTAAAGGCATGTACATATGTAAATACATTTATATATGAGGATGGTGAAATACATCTACTTGCATATATTTGAGCCTCCACTCAAGTACTCGCTCAATGCAAGAATACTTTGTTCTATTAAGTTGGCATTCTATGATGCTCACCTTCCCGACACAATCGCTGAAGATAGAGCAGGTGCATAAGCAAATGTGGTAAAGAAAGCTGATGGAGCCTGGCTATTAAAAGATATAGTGTCTAGGGTCTTAAAGACTTGAAGGTAAACAAGCGGTCACCTAGCTCAGAAGCAAAAAAGCCCACCAGCCTGTGTGATCATAAGGTGCCGAAGGGACCAGTTAGCAGGCATCAAAGAACAAAAAATCATATCATTGTGTGCTCACCTCCCTGATACAATCACTGAAGACAAATGGGTGCATAAGCAAATGTAGTGAAGAAAGCTGAAGATGCCCAGCTATCAAAAGATATGGTGTCTGGGGTCTTAAAGGCTTGAAGGTAAACAAGTGGCCACCTAGCTCAGAAGCAACAAAGCCCACGTGGAAGAAGCACACAAGCCTGTGTGTTCACGAGGTGTCAAAGGGATGAGGTATCCGGCATCAAACAACAAAAAAATCATATCATTGTGAATGAGGGAGAGTGCAGAGTGGCTACCGAAAGCCTATCTGTAGGCAATTGGACATCCTCTTATGGAAAGGTCGCAGGGAGGAGATGAGCCAGTCAGGGTGCAGTGTAGCAACAATGATACATACAACTTTCTTCTAGTTCCCAAATGCTTCCTCCACCCGCCCCCAAACTATCATGATCTCAATTCTACCTTACAAATCTGGCTGGACCGGAGGTTTTACACTGATACAGATAGGAACTGGAAACATGGGGAATCCAGGACAGATGATCCCTTCAGGACCAGTGGTGAGAGTGGTGATGCCGGGAAGGTGGAGGGAGGGTGAGGTAGAGAGGGGGAACCCATTACAAGGATCTACATATAACCTCCTCCCCAGGGAATGAACAACAGAAATGTGGGTGAAGGGAGACATCAGACAGTGAAAGACATGACAAAATAATAATTTATAAATTATCAAGGGTTCATGAGGGAGGGGGAAAATGAGGAGCTGATGCCAGGGGCTTACATGGAGAGCAAATGTTTTGAGAATGATGAGGGTAACGAATGTAAAAATGTGCTTTATACAACTGATGTAGGTATGGATTGTGTTAAGAGTTGTATGAGCCCCAAAGAAAATAATTTTAAAAAATTATCATGTGTGACTATGATTCTGGATATAATTCAGACTCCAAATTAAATGCTTCACTTTGAGTTCTCATTTTGGGTTCCTTTTTATCTTAACTCGTGTTTTTGTTTATTGTTTTCCTTTTAATTCTAAGGCTAACATTACTACCTATCTCATTTGGCAACGGTCATGGAATTTTCTACTGTGGAATCATCACAAAAATACTTATCAAGAATGCAATGGAAGTTGGAGTCATATCAGTGGTATTTGCGATATGCCGTATGTGGTCAGAAGTGAGGCTCCAGATTTGTATTTTGATTTCATTGTCATAAAAAAAGAAAAAGATTTGACAAGTGAGAATATGGCAACTGCATTATACTTAGATCCTTGAAAAGTAATTGATTATTATTTGATGACAGTATCCTAAAAGTTTTGTAAAAAATAAACTTTAAAAATTTGTTCTGAGTGTCTACATAATGAGTATATTGCAGCCCTAAACTCAAATATAAACTATCTAGATTGAAACCTAAATTGTCTCTTTAATCCAGAAGAATAACCAAGAAAAACATTCATTTATGAGGAAATATTACTTTTGCTAAAGGGACTTTAGCCAGATATATATATATATATATCTTAATATCCATTAACATTAGCTTCTGTCCCTCTAATTGGAAGATTATGCAGTGAGATTGCTTCTTCATTAGGAAGGAGCCCTGGTAGCATTCTAACTGGACCGTCAAAGGTTCAAACTCACCAGGTGCTCGGCAGGAGAAAGTTGAGGCTGGTCCCAGAAAGCTTTATAGCTTTGGAAACCTTACATTGCATTGCAATGCATTCTCTTGTCATTATCTGTGACAAGCAGAGAGAGGACAGAGGACTAGTTAATAGTTGATCGGAAACCTTCCTTTAACCAACACTCGTAAGGTGGCCTACCTGTTATTTAACATATATAAAACTGTTAATCAAACACAAATGAGGTTCACTTTAAAAATAACACTACCAAGATTGTTTGTGATCTAAGCATCTTCTAAATATTCTTAAAAGAATAAAAGGGTATATTTAAATATAATTTCTAACTAAAAACATGTCTTTAGTATTTTAGCAAGAAGTATCTATATAACTTGTGGTGCAATCCATTTTCCTATCTATTAGGAAATATTAATGAAAATTTATTTTAGTTCCTTACAGCTGAATTTTCTCATATAAATTTATGAGTTTAACAGCTGTCCTTGCCGGATCATTTAGACTGCTTCACTGAGCATTCTTCTCTCCTGATGAGTTGCTGTCTCTCGTACAAGGAAATATCTTAAACATGATTGTAGTACAGCTGCAGTCAGTGGTATGAATGGTGTTTAAGCTCCACAACATTTTGAATGATTTCCCAAATTTTAATCAAGATGCTTGTAAGTGAGTAAATTAAATGACTTTAAGTATGCTTGTATACGTGATTCATGTCTCACAGGTAGTAATCAGTGGCACCGTATTGTACACTTAAAAAAAACATAAAATATTTAGTCTCCGTTTAATTTTGTTTTTAAAATGCAATTTTGTTTTTAAAATGTTTTAAAATTAAAAACTGCAAGAAATCTTTGGTTCAAAATGAGCACAAAAGTAGATTTTCCAGATGAAACCAGTATACATTATAACCAATTAATACTCATGTATAGGCTGAGTTTTTCAGCGCATTTTTAATGCAGTTTTTGTGGTAAAATTAGATGCCTTGGCTAATATTTGGGTCAGTATATATGGTACCAACTTAAGACCATTGTTTCTTCTTCTCAATGCAAAAACATCTGCTTCCATAGTCTAGGAAATCAGGGCTACTGTCACATTTACCTTATTGGATCAACACAATACATCATGTGCTGAAGACCCTCCCACTTACTTATACCTTGCCTCGCTCGCTCTCCTGCAGTGGGGAAAATACAGGGGTAAGAATGAAGAAATAGAAGACTGGCGAGTGCATTAAAAGGAAAACATGTAACTGCTATTAGCTAGACTCCCTATAATGTTTTCTTCGTCTCTTTCGCTCTTGCTAAATTGTTGAAGATACCACAGAAATTTGGGAAATTTACACAGATCATTTGATCCCGCATTGAACCGTAGCCTTACCTAGTGAGAAGTGTGGACGGCAAACATCCATCTTTACACAAGAATAATGTCACTAAAAAGGGATGCGCCTTTACAATCAGGTTTATTAGCTTATACTTTCTTCACATTTCCCTTCAACTCCTGATATGGGAAGACCTCAAATTTTCCTTTTCTTACAGCAAGAAAAGAGAGACCTACCAGCTGGCTTCACCTGGACGGAGAGATGGCAGCGTCGGCGGAGACCTTGGGCCAGCAGCAAGTTGGCCTCGTGGGCGCCGGCCGCATGGCGGAGGCTTTTGCGTGGGGACTCATCCGAGCAAGAAAGGTGGAAGCTCAGAACGTGCTGGCCAGCGCACCAACTGACCGGAACGTCTGCCTCTTCCAGGCTCTGGCCTGCCAGACCACCCACGCCAACCGGGAGGTGCTGCAGAGTTGTCCCCTCGTCTTCTTCGCCACCAAGCCCCATGTGCTGCCAGACGTCCTGCTGGAGGTGGCCCCCGTGGTCACTGCTGAGCATATCCTGGTGTCTGCGGCTGCTGGGGTCCCTCTGAGAACCCTGGAGGAGGTGTGCGCTTTCTCTGAAGCCCTGGCCGAGGGTGCCATCCAGATGGGCATGCCCAGTGACCTGGCCCACCGCATTGTCGCTCAGACCCTGCTGGGCACTGCCAAACTGCTGCTGCAGGAGAATCGACACCCCGCCCAGCTTCGGACAGACGTGTGCACCCCAGCCAGCACCGCGATCTACGGAATCCACACCCTGGAACAAGGTGGGCTTCGGGCAGCTGCCATGGGTGCTGTCGAGGCTGCCACCAACCGGGCCAGGGAGCTCAGCAGGAAGTAGGGCCAGAGGGGACCTGCCCCACAGTCCCGAGAGCTGGGCCCCTCAGCCTCGGATGGGCTACACTGCAGTAGGGGACAGGGCTCCCAGCCTGGCAGGTCTCACTGGTGGGGAGACCATGGTGGCCGCATCCCCCCAGAGAGCCTGCCGTGTGGACAAGAAAGCAGATGCCTTGGCAGGGAGGTGGCAGCTCCTGGAGTGGCTGCTTGGCAGGTGTGCACAGCTGACCCCGCCAGGCGGTGCCTGGACACCCAGCCCCCAGCCCAGCCCTCCTTCTGGTGCCCTCCCCCCAGCTCTGAGGTGGGGGGGCAGGCCCTCACTTGAGGGCAGAGCCCTCCCTTGGTGAAGCAGGATATGCGATGAGCACGGCTAGTCTGCTGGGAGCGGGGAGACATCAGGAGCCCTGCCCCAGCTACAGAGCTGTGTCTGTGTGCTCACCCAGAGCAGGACCAGCAGCAGGGCCCCATCATGTGCCTCTGTGGGCAGTGCCCACTTGCAGGCCCAGGACCCAGGTCAAGAGGCCACTGGGTATCTGTGAGATGGCTGCTGCCTGCTGGGCTCCTCAGAGTGCCCCAGGGGCTGGCTTCTGCCCGCTCCCATGTAGAGGGCCCCTTGTTTCCTCTGCCAGGCTCTCAGGGCAGGGAAGCAGTGTCCACACCTGGGGCAGGGACAGGCTCTTGCTGCTACTGCTAGCCAGCTGTTGGCCAGGGTAGGGCAGGGCCGGCCTGGCCCTCAGGCACAGCAGGCCTCTGGCCCCACCCCCAATGCTCTCCTTGATCCCACCCCACTTCCAGCCACCTAACTTTATCTGTAACATGGCCACCTGTCTTGGCAGAGTAAAAGGCAATGCCACCTGACAAGCAAATGACACTGAACTCAGTGCTGTGTCAGTGTTGGCAGTCCTGCTCCGCCAGGCCTGTGGTGCTGCTGCATGCACACTTACCCCCGTTGCCCTGTACCCCTCCTGACCCCACGGGTTCTCATCAATGAGGTGGGTGCCCAGGAACCCCTGCCCCCAGCAGCTTTCCCAAGGTACTGACTAGGTCTGCCTCAGCGAGGGGTTCTGTTAGGCCCCCAGACGGTGATGGTGGGATGTCACATGATGGGGTTGGGGCAGCCTAGGGCACAGCAGGAGCCCCGCTTTCCAGGGCCTTTTGACCTACTGCGAGTCTGTACTGCCTGCTTCTCCACATCAAGTGCATAGTAGGGCTGGCTTTCTCTTCCATCAAGTCTATTGCCTTGTTTTGCACACCTCCTTAAATAAGGAGGTGTGCTACCCTGGATCAAGTTACAAAGAGGGGAGGTTGAAGTGCTACCTACAGCTGCAAAAAAATAAAAGCCAGGCTCTGCTCCCCGAGGGGGGGAGAACTAAAAAGAACAAATGATGAAGGATCCTCTGCTGCTCTCCTAATGTCACTTTAAAACCAAAATACATGTCCTTTTCACCTTTTAAACTAACAAAGAAACTTGACTGATGCCTTGTTTAGTTTTCAATATTCTCCCAGTTGTGTTTGAAAGAAAAAAGACACCACCCATTTTAAATCCCAGCTACTAAGCACCTAACAGAGGGCAGAAGCTATTATTCTTTAAAAAAAAATTCTTACTCTGGAGTTTATGGTTTCATCCTTCCAGTTATTTCCCAAAAAGAAGAAAATTAATTGTAAATAAACCAGAAAAGGTTTTAATACTTATAACACATCTGAATTGTCCTTAGTGAACATTGAAATAAACTAAATATAGATTGTATTTTTAATGCATCTCAACCTTAAACTTCAGGTACACCCTGTGACAAAGGACAAAATATGGAAACCTGTTTGGACGTGGATTTCTGTGTCATAGTATGCATAGACTTGGAAACAAAAAGACCTGGTTAGAACCTTGGTTCTTAATGATCCTGAAAACGTTGCCCAAATTTTCAGTGTCCATATTTCCTTGTGTGAAGAACGGCTAGGATCATAAAGGCAAGCAAAGTCCTCGTGCTAAGTAAATGAGATAACATGAAGCAGTTTGCAAAAGTACAGCGCCGTTAAGGTATACTCGTCTTCATTTCTGTTTCTTTCTTTCTTGAGACCTAAGTGGAAGTTGTTCTTTGAAGTTAATTCATGATAGAAGGAATGTTGCTATTGCTCTGTAATGTATTTTGAGTCACAGCAGTTTGATGTGACAGAATAGAACTTCCCTCTTAAGCACACCAGCCTGTGGGATTAGGCATCAGGCATCAAAGACCCAGAACAAAAAATCTTATCAATGTGAATGGGGGGGAAGGTGAAATGGAGACCCAAACCCATCTGCAGACAATTGGACATCCCCTTACAGAAGGGTCACAAGGAAGAGAGGAGCCATTCAGGGTGCAGTATAGTAACAATGAAACATACAACTTTCCTCTAGTTCTTCAATGCTTCCTCCCCCCACTATTATGACCCCAATTCTACCTTACAAATTCTGCTAGATCAGAGACGCTGGTATAGATAAGAGCTGGAAGCACAGGGAATCCAGGACCAATAATGAGAGTAGTGATGCCAGGAGGGTCAGGAAAAGGTGGGGGCAGAAATTGGGAACAGTTCACAATGATCTACATATGCTCCCTTCTCAGGGAGACAGACAACAGAAAAGTGGGTGAAAGGAGACATAATTTATAAATTATCAAGGGTTCATGAAGGAAGGAGGGTGAGAGAGGGAGGGAAAAAATATGAGCTGATACCAGGGGCTCAAGTAGAAAGAAAATGTTTTGAAAATGATGATGACAACATATGTACCAATGTGCTTGATACAATGAATGTATGTATGGATTCTTATAAGAGCTGTAAGAGCTCCCAATAAAATGATTTAAAAAGAAAGAATTGCACCCCTTGAATTTTCTTGACTGCTGTCTTTGCAACCAGATTCTCGTCTTTGTCTTGCATAGCCATTGGGTGTGTCTGAACTCCTAACCTTTAGTTAGCATCTGAAAGCTTAATAGTTTGTCAGCAGGAACCCCTAATGGAAGGAATATTAATTACTAAATCAGAAATTTGGATGTGACAACATTCAAATAACAGAGTTCTGTAATCAGCTAATGATTAAATATTTGGTAATTTTATTATAAGCAAATTCATGGAAGATCTTTCAGTGAAAAGTTCATATTCCATAATTATTTAAAATTTGCCTTTCTAAGCATGAAAACTAGATGTATACTAGAAGTCAGTCTTTCAGCTACATTTTAATTTGAATTATAAAGTGCTTAACTCTCTCATTCCCAGGAAACATGACTATTCTAATCCTATAGTAGCAATAATGACAGAAATCATTATTTTGTGCTTCAAGGCAAGTAATTCAATATTCTCATAACTGTTCATCTTTCCAGGCTACATTTCTGTCATAATCCACCTACAAATGATAGGAACCATGAACATACATTATTATTTACTCACAACAAGCAACTCTGCTTCTCAAAACAGAATCCAGTGTAGAAAATAAATTAGAACGGTTTTTATTTTAAGATATGGTACCCCAAGCAAAATGTGAGAATGAATTTAAAAATGCATTTTAAAGAAACACTAACCATAATTTCTGCAGTCAAGATAGGAGGACTTCCGCCAAAATATGGCTCTATGCCGTTGTCTTTTCATTTCTCTTCTCAAAGTTGTATAAAAGGAATATAAATTTTTGAAAAGTGACAAGCAAAATAATCAGCACAACTAAACTAAGATAAATTGTTCAGATTTAAAAATATATAGAAAATATACAAAAACAGATGAGATAGAAAAAGAAGTAATTTTGGAGGAGATTTTTAAAAGTTCTGCACAATGGCTGAAGGCAGCAGTTCTTAGTGCATGTCCTCAGAAACACATTCCATGAAGTGAAGAATTTATCCTATGGAGCAAACACCACACCTGTCCTTTGCAACCATGAAGGAAAGATCTGGGTCAGTAGGATTCGAAGAAGTTTTGTAGATACAGTTTTTATTCAAGAGGCAAAAAAGGAAAAACTGGGCAAACAATTACAAAGAGAGCTACTTCTGAATAAAATATCCTGAGTTTGTGCCAGAACAGAGGGAGGCCTTTGAAAGACTTGAAAGCCTGGCTGGTACACTGATCCCACACTCTCCACAGCAATCTCCTGTGGGGGCTGGCTGTAGGCACTCCAGTTCACTCAGTGGTGAATATATCAAAATCTTTGGTACACATTCATCAAGACATAGCAAAGAAAAAACTACAGGAAAAAGTGCAGAAAATTAGCCATAGGTTAACACGAACTGAAAAAAATAATTTACCATACAGCAGTAAGAAATTATGGCCAAGTACTTTATCAGGAATCAAAATATTAAATATTAAAATAGCTTTATGAATTCATCCCTTGTACTGTAAAAACCCTGTCTCAGAATCAGTTCTCTAGAGAACCCAAACCAAGATATACATATGTGTGATATATATAGAGATATATATAGATATAGATATAGATATATACACACACACACACACAGTTGTAGAGGCCAGCAAGAAACAAGTCAATGGGTAATATGTCAGGTTGGAGACATCTCATGATTCTTGTAACTGGAGGGTGTGATTAATCCCAGATGGGTAGATCAAAACTTGGGCTTCTGGCTGCAGAGGTGACAAAAATTCAAGGCTGACTGATAAGCAATCCTGCTGATGACTATGCCTAGGATGGGCAGGACATACAGAAGGCTGCTGTCTGAAGTCCAAAGATCTGGAGGTCAAATAACTAGTCATATGTAAGATGTAGGTCCAAGAAAAAACAAGTAATCTTTGCTTCAGCATCCTCATATATTGAAAGCAGGCAACAACCCTGCAGAAACTCTCTTTCAATTGATTGGCTACTCATAGCAGATTTCATCATGGAAGTGATTAGATTATGTTAGCTCTCATATTGTGGTGGCTATATTTCAATTGCCAAACCACTGAGAATCCTGGCTCAGCCAAGTTGACATATAAAAGGGACATAATTGCTGATGTCTAATAGATATCGGCTCAAAGCAGAAACTAGTAGAAAGATGCTTACTT